CTGGTAGCTACTTCGTTTCAGTTACGTATTGCTAGTGGAAAGGAAGCCAAAAGCCCAGCAGGTGTACCATTTAAAAAAAAAAAGTTTTTTTTTTTTTTATAAATTACATTTTTTTAGTCACCCTATAGGAGTTAAATATTTTCCTGAAATGCATCCTGGTATACTTTAGGTTTGCACTTAAACAAGGAAAATTCTAACTTTTTTATTATAGGAGCCTGAACACAGACAACAGGACCCTGTAACTAAGATTTCAAAATAATTTATATATAATTCATTTTTTTTTTCATGTATATTTAAAAAAATTTTTTTTAAATTAATTTATCGGATTATATTCATCGCAACAATATTGATCGGCGCTAATTAACTTTGAATATCGAGAAAAATCAAGCCATTTGAAAGATTCATAAATAATGGCCAGCAATTTCCAAAGATATTCTCTTTAACTCTAATGGCGATTTGAAATCTCAAAGTCTAATCTATTAAAATTACTTTACAAACTAGTTTTCTAATGCTCTACATGTTCGAAAGTGTTACCACCCTCCATAATGCACAAATTTATTTTTCGTTCAATCTTGTTTTACAGATCTTTAAACATAATTATGTTCTTCTTGACTTTCAAAGATACATTTTTGCTTTTAGTCATCTTTAAATTTTATTCATTTCACTTTTGAAATGAAGTTAAGTAATGCCCCCCCTTGGCAACAGATTCTTGAAAGCCATTATACTGCTCACACCAGGCTTTCCGTCCATCTTCGGAGAGAAATAAATTTGATTGTTTATATTATATCTTATTTATATTATTTGATATTTGCAGTTAATTTTCCAATTAATGTTCCCACGTCATTGTTAAATTTGAAAGCTTATCAATATATTATAACGATGAATAGTTAAATATTAAAAAAACAATGTTTTTTTTTTTTTTTAATTTAAATAAATTTGTGTTCCAAAATATACAAAACAAAAAAAATATTAAGTGTTAAATTCATTGCACTTTCAGGAGACAGAGTTGGGCACCAAAACTTCAAAATATAAACCGTTTAAAAAATAAAAAAAAAATAAGTTAACCTGTATCGCGCACAGATTATTAGTAATTAGAAATCTAATTTTTAATCTTAATTCTAATCTAATAAGTTTCCGAGATACCAATACTGGTATCGAATTTCATAACACCCTGTATGGTTGAGGAATATGGAGACACCATGTGTACACAGGGTGAGTCTTAAATAAGTGCAGATATTTTAGAGGCAGATCTCGATAAAAGGAACATGTTTTCTCTTTACCGTTTTCCATATAGTATTGTTACGGATTCCGTGGGTCCACTAATTTAAACTCACGATAAAATACTTAACGAATTTATTTTCTCTCACTCTGTACACACAATTTATACTAATTTACAACACAATTTATGCAACTACTATTACTCTAACGGTACTGGCACATTCGCCAATTATGTAATTCACAATTTAAAACGCGGTATTATCAAACTTCAAACTGGTCCAACTGGCCAAGCGCGGGCTTTATATACTCTCTGGCGAGTGTTTCTGGAACGTTCTAAAGAATTCTGTAATATCTTTTACTTTCTGGCGAATGCGCCATTTTTATTGACACGTTGCGGTAAGGTAGGCAACCAGTAATACAGTTTAGCGCCACATACACCTTGACATTGCCCCCTTCTCAAATTTGATCGTCCCGATCAAGGTTTCCTGTCTGGTATCCCTAGGTCCATCGATCCAGATGAACTACTTTCATCTTACTTCTAGGGCTGCGTTGAACCGGTACACAACATCATTTATCCTCTTGATGACTGTATAAGGACCTTCCCATGCTGGAGTTAACTTTGGCGATCTTCCTTTCTTGCGCTGCGGGTTATATAACCATACCGTATCGTCCTGTTGAAATCCCGTAGAATTAGCTCTGAGGTCGTAACGAGCTTTCATCCGGTCACTGGCTAGCGCAATCTTCCTTCTAACGGCCTTATAAATGTCCAATAATCTTTCCTTCCTAGCGATTCTTTCAAACGACAGTCCAACGCTATCTTGTTCCATGTTTCCCCCAGATCGAGTACTTGGTCCTTGTCTGTGGCTGCGCAAGTCTTACAATGTTGACACCACTTCTTGACATCTTCGCAATAATCCACCCAGTAAAAACGATCTCTCAGCTTGCTCAGGGTCTTGTATTCTCCCAGATGTGCTCTAGTGTTACCACCGTGAATTTCTTCTAATACCTGGGTATTCTTCTGCCTTGGTACCAGTAACTCAGTTGTTACTGTCCTGCCATCCGCACTTTCGCACGTGCGCTTTAACAACCCATTCTCAATCACCAGTGAATCCTACTGAGCCCAGAGAGCTTTGAAAATCAGCCCTCTGTTCGCAATAACCTGCCACGATGGTCTCTCGCCGTTACCTTCCTTGAGCCGTAGTATTGCTCCGATGTCGGGATCTTCCATTTGATCTTTCCTCAATTGTATCGTCGTCCATTGTTCGTCAGTTCTCAGTTTAAAATTCCTTACTCTGATAGTGCTTTCGCGATGTTTCATTTTCTTGTCCAAGGTAGCTCGTCGTCGATCTGGCTCGTTGTCGATAATTTGTACCCGTCCTACACGGCACTCAAGGGTTTTCTCCATTTTCCTGAACACAGTCTTCTTCACACAATTTCTGCTGATCTTGCTTCCATATTTTCCGGACTTTTCTCTTTAAATACAGCAAATTCTGCATTTCCGATTTTCAGGATGTTACTATGGTGATCGAACGAAAAACCATGTTGACTGATCACATCCATACCCATGATAAAATCATCTTCAATATCTGCCACTAAAACGCTATGCCGAAACTTCAAATTCCCTAACTCCAGTTCCATGAAAGCCTCTCCCCGTACAACGGTCATTTCCCCCGTAACTGTACGTAAATACACTCTTCTTCTAAGAGACATCATCTTCAATCCTTGCACTGAGTTAGTCCGCACCAACGATACCATAGCGCCTGTATCCACAGTCATTCGAATTCTTCTACCATTGACCTTCCCGTTGATCACCAAACTATCAGCGGTTTTTCATAGACTCCTAATGGAAAACATCCTGGAGGCTCTGTTTTCCTCAGCCAATACTCGCCCATTAGTATTGATTTCCTGGTGCCTATGTTTTCTTGCTGGTAAACGGAATCGCATTTGGGCGCGGCAATCCCGTTTGATGTGGCCATTCCTGCCACATCTATAGCAACTTATGTCCTGGGATCTTCCGATGTGCCGATGTTCTCTTGCTGATGAACGGAATGGCATTTGGATGCGGCAATCCCGTTGGATATGGCCATTCCTGCCACATCTATAGCACCTAATGGATCTTCTCTGGTTCTCTGTCTAGGTGTTGTTGACTCTCTTGTTCACTAGTAACTCACGTAGTTTATTAAACATCTCCAAACGTATGTGAGAACTCTTTGGCTGTTCCTCAACCGTTATCGAGCCTATCTTCGGCTTAGGAATGGCGCTGAATACAGCTTCTATTTCCAGCGCCCTGACAAGTACTTCGCTGCTGGTCGAAAACCGCGATATTTGCAGCGCCCTCTTTAACTCGTGGTCCTTCAGTCCGCTGATAAAACACTGGGCGGCGAGTTCCTCCCTAAACCCTTCCGGTGCTTCTGGATATGCCAAGTGTAGCAGTCGACGTAAGTCTGTTTCGAATTCCAGACTCCCTCCAGACCTTTGCATGCGTGTCTTGATCTGGGCCTGGTAAAGTTGACGTCGATGTTCGTCGCCATATCTTCTGTCTAGTGCAGCAACCAAAGTTTCGTATTCCTGCTGTTGGGCTGCAGGTATAGTTTGCAGCAGTTCCAAGGCAGTGCCACGCAGCGCGATGACAAGGGCCGCTGCTTTCTCTTGATTAGTCCATCCGTTGGCACCAGCCGCTGCTTCAAACTGGCGGTGGTACATCGTCCAGGTGGTTTGTCAATCGTAGTTCGGGGCCTTGAGGTTCGCAGTTCCATGAACGCCAGGTGTCCTTACTCCTTGGTCTTCTGTAGGTCCATCTCTAATTTTTCCATTTTCTGCTGAAGGCGTTCCTCCAGATCTTCTACGGCTTCTTGGAAGTGGTTCTGCTGTTTTTGGCAACGCATTTCCAACATTGCTTGTTGCTTTTTTTCCATGTCCCCGAAGTTTTTCTAAAGTCGAATTTCTTGATTTTCTAGGATTTTCTGAAGCCGGTCCTGTTCTTGCTTTTCTCTCTGACGTCGCTCCTCCAAACGAATTTCCAAATTACCCAACATTTTCTCAAGCCGGTCCTGTTCTTCTTGTTTATCTTGTCGTTGAATTTTCAAATCTTCGAAAATGTTCTCAAGCCGGTCCTGTTTTTGTTGACGTCGTAATTTTTCCTCTTCCGTTTCTCTTTCTAATTTCTGCATAAAATCGCCCAATAATTTGCTTACTTCCTCCATTTTCTTCGCTTGCTCTCTCGTCCCAACCATAAAATTCTCCAATCCGGTGTAAAATCTTCAAAATCCACTTAAATCCCACTTCTAACACCAATTGTGACGGATTCCGTGGGTCCACTAATTAATACGCACGATAAAATACTTAACGAATTTATTTTCTCTCACTCTGTACACACAATTTATACTAATTTACAACACAATTTATGCGACTACTATTACTCTAACGGTACTGGCACCTTCGCCAATTAATTCACAATTTAAAACACGGTATTATCAAACTTCAAACTGGTCCAACTGCCAAGTGCGGGTTTTATATACTCTCTGGCGAGTGTTTCTGGAACGTTCTAAAGAATTCTGTAATATTCTTTTACTTTCTGGCGAATGCGCCATTTTTCTTGACACGTTGCGGTAAGGTAGGCAACCAGTAATACAGTCTAGCTCCACATATACCTTGACAGTATGATCAAAATAACCGAGTTATTTTGCTCTCAAAATTAAAGAAAACATTACTTAAATTTTGAGAAACACAGGATTTTTTTGGGTTTCTATTTTTTGTAAATTTAATCCAATACATACATGTCACCATATTATCAAGATATATTATGATCTTTTTATTAAAAATTAAAAAATCCAATTTTTTTAGAAAAATTCCAAATTTTCAATTTTTTATTAAAAAAACTCAGTCGTGTTTCTGGGTTCAAAATATACTACCCCTAAAAATATTTGCACTTATTTAAGATTCACTCTGTATAAAAAATAATTCTATTTATATTAAAATTTTAGACAAAAATTTTATTAATAAATCCAAACTGGGGAATAGACAATGACTTTTTTAATCAAAGGCAAAATGTTCAAATCTTTGTCCGATATGTTATTGATGAACTATTAGTAAATCCTCATCATCCCAACATGGTGACTTTGAAGATACAGTTCTACTTTTCGTGCAACTTGGATAATATGGAGTTTGTAGTCGAATTGGATAGATACAATCTACGAAAGAAATTGTCAACACTTAAAGATGATATTTGTTCCACGGGAAAGATGGCCGATAAGGAAGAAATTGATAAATTGTATAGAAAAATTGTGTTCTACATAATTCTCCTTTCGGGACTTGGAAATCCTATGAATATAAAGGTAAACAGGTACAACAGCGTTAAGTTCGTTAGTGCTGGTTTTAGACGTTATACAGGGTTGTTCACCGCATACGATACGGAGTATTGTAGCTAAACGATTAGATTTTTGCAAATTGTAAGTTTTGGGTTCGTTGAAGGACTATTAGAGCTACAATTGTATACCAAATAATTAAAAAATATTATAGATGTATTTTTTTAAATGGAACACACTGTATATAAATTAAATGGAACACACTGTACTATTTTCAGATTCTACGGTTGAAATAAAGGTAAATTTGATTTTATCATACTTAAACCTTACCGTTTTTGAAATATTTTCAATTTTATGAAATTGCAGCAATAATTTTAAGACTTTATTTCTCCAAGGGTATCATAGTTTTTAATACTAAATATTTACTGAAGTTTATTTATTGATCAGATATTGTATTGCAATAATAACCAAATTGCTACCTTATACAGAGTGTCTAAAAATTTATATTAAATAATTACTAGCTTTAAACGGCAATAACTTGTTTAATTTAAATAGAACACTCTGTATATTTTACGAGAATCAGATGCACAATTTAATTGTCTATCAAATTATATTATACCATTATTTACCTATATCTTCAAGTTTTCCTAGAAAATGCATTTTCTTATAGTTTAGATCACATTTATCACTATACCCATGGAATATTGACATTTTAGATTTTAGATATTTTTAAAGATGTAACAAATTTTCAAAGAGTACAGATACTAATATTGTCGATATAGTTCGCTTAATTCATTAAAAAATAAAAAAAAACATATTTTTTGTTAAGAGGACCAATTAATAATGATCCCAGTATTCAAACTAAATTAATTGACTGTTTACGTTGATTAATAATAATTGCCCCAAATACTAAAAAAGCTGAATTTTGTATGTGTATTAGACAGTGTGGTAAAAAGTAACACCTTATAAATTATATTATTTAAATTTTTGACGAATGCTTATTTGATTTCCGAGTCATCTCCGAGTTCAAATCAATTTCTGAGTCAAATCCACATTTACTTAAAATAATTTATTAAGTAAAACAATTAAGTACCAATGTAATTAACTAATTTTTGGGCGGAAATAATGGTGGTATATTTAATTGGTATACTCTTTTACACATATTTTAATAGTTTTCTTTTTGTAAACAAATGGGCTTGCAATATTATTATTTTTACCACCTGTACATTTTGTACATTTTTTTTAAAGTAACAGCTTTAAAAAATATAAAATGTCAATATTCCATGGGTATAGTGATAAATAAGGTCTAAATTATAAGAAAATGAATTTTCTACGAAAACTTGAAGAGATAGGTAAAAAATCGTTTCATACAATTTGATAGACAATTAAATTTTGCATCTGATTCACCTAAAATATACAAGGTGTTCCATTTAAATTAAACAAATTATTGCCGTTTAAAGCTTGTCGCCCACTTGTTCGGTACCACACGGACCGTAGCTGCTAAATTAATATTGAACATAGGTCACCTTTAAAAGCATGTTTTTCTTTTATTATAAATGGAATACCCACTATATTATTCCAATATTCAATGGAGAATTAATGTCTCTTCAAAATACTATTAAGGTTGCATATCCCTCAAACAAAGATTTTCCTAAATATTTTCATTTACATGATTTGATCTAGTAGATCTTTATTATTTGATAAAATCTAGGTGGCTGTGATATATCTGAAGTTACTTCAACATAGTTGTTTAATTAGTCCAACTTTAGCAACTAGTTATCATTTTGTGTCAGTTAAAATAAAAAAAATTCCCAGAAATTTGCCGAAAATGCAAAATTATCCTACATCAGAGAGAATGGGCTCTTTCACCATATTTTGGAATTAGCATACTTGAATAAAGCAATTAATTCTAGAATTTTCTGTTATCTCACTTTCGAAAAATTTGAAGTCGTTCTTAAGAAAATAAATAAAAACAAAAAAGCCCAGAATAAAAATCCGCACTTTATTTTTAATACGTCACACCTGGCATGTTGAAAAGCGGCAACACGGCTGCGGCCGGGCCACCATGCTGACCCACCACCGCCGCCACACAAGGCCATTCAACCTTTTCCAATATGGCGGAGATAGAAGTGCTTTATTTGAAGCGTATTTTAAAACCTATTTTATTTCCAAATAGACATTTTTCACACAAATGTCGGGTTAGATTACGTAATATTTCACTACTTTTTTAATATACAGGGAGTCTAAAGTTTTCCACATAAGTATGGAATTTTTGTATTATTACTTGTATGAAAAGATAAGTTAGTTACTTTTTATAAAAAGGTCTGCTTTCTCAGAAAATAGGTAGTGTTAAAATATTCAAACTTGAGGTAGAATATATAGGGTGTTCAAAATCATCGGAAAAGAGATAACCAGAAATATATGACAGAAAATAGCAATATAAACTAAATATTCAATTGCAAACACTTACCTACCATAGTTTAGAATTTACTGAACGTTTGATAAATATATATTATTATGGACAGTATAGGAAGTTACTTGTCTTAGTAAAAGCCTTGGTAAATGCTCTTGGAATTATAAACTACACTGGCTTGGGTCAAAAAATATGGCATATTTTTTCTATGTTTTGCAGCATTACACAAATGGGAATAAATTTAAACTATAATAGGTGAGGATAAATAAAAAATATAATATGTGTTTCAAGATTTTATATAGAAGAACAAACTAAATACCTTTTTGGGGATTCGTAAGTAAAACTTACGCTTAGCTTAGTTTTCTTTACTCTTTCTCTTTACATAGGGCATTGTCTCTGTGGTAAAGACGTCATTCCTTTTTTTTGCATAGTTCTTCAATAAAATATTGGATATTCTGAACAAGATGGATTTAATAATAAATTCTGACGTATGTGAGGGGCAATTGTGATCTAAAAAAAAGATTTACATCCAGGCCATTTATATTTTCAAATGTCAATGTTGTCAATATCTTTCTGTGATCTTTTTGATATAAAAAGCTTGATTCTTCTTCCAATATTTTACTTATAGTGAGGTAAATGTAAGCAGTAGCCATAACTACATCCTCGCTAGGGTAACAGAGGCTTTGGCCTTTGGCCTTTGGCCTTTTTGAGGCATATTTAATGCACTTCTTACCCGAGAACTACTAGTAGGAGTGAAATTATCTCTTTTAATAGCTGTCAACCATTTTTTACGAAGCTTGTCATTTTTGGGGAATATAAAAGCAGAAACCTTGGGACCCCCTCTATAATTCCCGTGACAATTTGAAACAGAGCATGTAAAAGGCATGCTACAATAAAATGTTAATACCTACCCTTTAATACCTATCTTTTGATTATTGTAAGTAACCATTATAAAGTACTATGCAGACTGGCGGCGAAGGCTTTTTACTCATTTAGGTGTAATATCTTGATAAATACTTCTAGTTCTTACCTTAAAATAATTAATAATAGAGGAGTACGACAAGCACAAAAGTTTGAAGTTCCCTTTGTGGAATGTCTGGTTTTGGATTTTTTACACTGTTATTTTATCACAATTTTCTGATCACACCATGCACTGAACACTAAGAACTAAACAAACGTGTTGCAGAAGCACAACAAACTAGAGATAATTAATTATTTCTGGTATGCAATCGGAACGAGAAACCACTACCGGCTTTTTCAGGTTAAAGGTAAACAATTTAATAATGCGCTGCCTTTGCCGCCATATTTGCCTTGCCCATATCATGTTGATTGGCCTTGAGTTGAGGTGGTGCTGGTCAAATCAAATCGCAATGTTGCCAGTTGTTGGCTGGCGCACGAGCACGGTTCTGCAATGTGATTGGGCGTATTTCTCATACGTCATCAATTGGCACTTTAAAATTATTTCAAATTAAAGCAATTTTGAGGGCCTATAAAAAAATTATTCAATGTCATGGAACTATTTTTTTTGGATAAATATACTGAAAATAGTCTTCTATTTCATATTTTGTCCTTGAATTGGGTATTTTATTTTTGTGAAAGAGCCTATTGATATGATTCCATTAGTTTGGTTTTATTAGTGCTCCTGATTCTATGTAGTCTGTTTTTTTATGGGGATATGTTAAAGACAGTGTTTACAAAACTCGACCAACTATTGTCGACAATATGAGAGAAATTATTGTAACTGCTTTTCGAGGTAGAACTCCTTTTGGAAAAGAATCATTTTATGCAGTTAACAGAAAAAAAAATTGCATTTGGAGAATTTGATTTCATCTAGCTAATTTTTGTCACAATTATAGGTTTAGATCTAGTTTTAATTCTGTAATAATTAAAATATGTTTTAAACGTGTTTTTTTTTATTACCGTTGAGTATTTTACTCTACAATCTTTAATTTTTGTTAAATTAACAAAAAGTATATCACAGCCACCTACTAGATCTTTTCAAATAATAAAGATCTACTGACGCAAAATCATAAAAATTAAAATATCTAGGAAAATCTTTGTCTGAGGGGTAGGCCCTTAAAAATATTTTGAAGATATATAAATTTCCCATTGAACACCGGAAAAATATAATGGGTGTTCCATTTAAAATAAAGGAGTAATTTGCTTTTAAAAGTGACTAATGCTCCATATTAATTTTGTCTCACCCTGTATAACATTTCGGGTAAAATTTTAGTTTGGTTTAACATACAATGGTTATTGTAACTAAATATCAGGCTATAGAAGGTCAATTAAATTTACGTAGCTGTTATCGAAATTTAAAATTTACTCTTCATTTTCACAAAATGTCAAATAAGTCAAATTCCTTAAATTTTAGGTATATGCTTCTTTAATAAAAATCACCTTTATTTTTTTTCTAGAATCCGAAAATCAATTAATATATAGGGTGTTCCATTAGAAAAAACACAACTTTGATATGTAACTTTTTTTGGGGACACCGTGTATAATTCTATATATTTTTATAAAATGCTTTCAGTTAACCTACATATGCTGCCAAAATTTCATTTCGATATAAACTACCGTTCTCCTTGGAGCTTCCGCGGCGTATGAGAGGCGCCAC